CAATCTCAAACTGCGGCTGAGACTGGCATGTCATGGGTTCGAGCGGACTTTCAAAAGATTGGCTCTGGTGCTTTTTTCGCAGCAGCTACACTGATGCGAAGCAACGGTCTACTCAGCGGCTTAATCCTCCTATACGATGTCGCTAAGTACATGCCCTCTCTGATGTCTGCGCAGTTGCGCATACCAGATGTAAGAAGGATGCTTGTCACATGCATGGCTGGTAGTCTGATAGCCTTGGCTTTCTTCGGGCCGCAGTATCTGGCATACACGGAATTTTGCGACCAAGGCAGCGGCACTGGAACTAGACCATGGTGTGACAAGACCTTCCCGAGCATTTACTCGTGGGTACAAAGCCATTACTGGTAAGTTACCCTAATACGATGACTTACTAGTCTGACCTCTTCCAGGAACGTAGGACTCTTCCGTTACTGGACCATCTCAAATCTGCCTCTGTTCATACTAGCGGCACCAGTTTCGTGGCTGCTCCTCACATCAAGTGTCACCATTCTCCGCAGCGGTGCCCCACACCCGTTGCGTGGGCGTCCTGTACCCCAGACTGGTGAAACAGCCAAATCCAGGAACGGAACCTCCGCGATATGCAAGCTACCGGAATTGGCACTGCCCCAATTACTACTGGCTGCAACAGCCGTTACCAGTTTTCACGTCCAGATTGTGAACCGGATTGCTTCCGGCTATCCCATGTGGTATCTAGTTGTCGCTACGTGGTTGGCTGATTCACAAAGTACTCGTCCGACAGCAAACCGTTCACGAACAGCCAAGTGGTGCATCAGAGGTAGCATCATGTATTGCTTGATACAGGGAATGCTTTTTGCTAACTTCCTCCCACCAGCCTGAAGCTCAGGCCGCGAAAATACTGTCGTACCCACAAAGCGGTGGCGTAAGCTCTACAACGTAGCTCTTCAATTCAGACGCCCAGACAAACTGTACGACGTAGCTTATTACTAGTAAAACGCCATGGTCAGACTCCTGAACTCCAATACGAATGTTTTGCAATTACCACAACACTCGGTACATCTAGACGGTTACTTCATTCTCCGGGCGAGCTGGTGCTAAACGTAGGAATAGCTCAGAAGGACACACATTACCGAGCTATGACCCATGTCTTACATGCGAATTTTGGCACTGCGGTAGAAGCTTAACGATCAGCTACGAGGCTGTCATGATGCCAAGTACCTCACAATCTCACTACTAGTGTTGCTGCTCTAATGTCTCAGCCATCGCAAGTAACAAGACATGCACCCTACAATGGATTTTGAAGATGACAGATGAACGTCGCATAGAGCGGCTGACCTGTCTTTCTAGCCTATCATGGAGAGCTGGTCTGACGACTTTGTACCTGCATGCGCTACTGACGCCAACCTACCGATGGAAGCCTAGATCATCGTATAAAAGTTGGCGATGCGACAATATGGCGAGATGCTGTGCCAGCATACTACTACAGTTCCAGTTCAGTTGTATACAAAAACGTCATGATATCGAACCCCTCTGCAAGATGCGACACATTGGGCGAAGCAGAACATTGCATCATCCACTGCTTCCCTACACATGACCGACAGCGTTGCAATGTCACTGTTTTCGCGACGGAAAATGACTTCCTGAACACCAACGCGCCATTTCAGAACACTGATCAATGCCCTAGTTTCTGAGTCAGAAGCCTTCTGCTTGAGAATGATGACCACCGTCAAGTCTCACAGCGACGCCACCTACACCAACCAGAGTGTCGGAGCGAATACGAAGGCCTCCCGGAAAGACAGAAGGAAGGCTTGGTCACGCCAGCTTTGTCACTAGTCTTTGGCATAGCGAGGGCGACTTATAAAGGTTGCTCCAAGCTCCTTTGGTTGGTAGCCGTGCTCATCAACTTAGTCCGACCTACACTCGTTACGAGAAAACGATGAAGCTTTCTACCTTCGCTACCTTCCTCAGCCTGTCCGTGGCTTTGGCAGCCGTGCTCGACACTAGACAGCAATGCAATGAGGATGACTGCTTCCGCGCAGTTTTCGGCAACGGCGGATTCGGTCAGATAATCAGGGCTGGAGAAGATTGCGATGACTTCCTTACTACAAGTGTCATCTGGTACCCAATGTTCGTATCCCACTCAAGATGTCCATCGAACACACTAACGATCTACTACAGCACCACCATCACGTCCTTTACTCTTACGACATCTACTCTGACAACACCATGTCTTTCGGAGGTATTGCCCGTTCCGACAGGAGTGCCCATTACTACCGACGAAGAAAAATTGTGGATTCGACAAGCTCTGCCAACCGGAACTAACTGGTCCACGACCACTGTCTTTGGACCAGTGCCTACATACGCCACCCAAGCCTGTGCCTCGCAAGAATACAAATCTGTATGCGGATGTGCGAGCATCACCGAAGATACTGTCACCTATCTTGGAACCGTAAGCTTCATGTCAGTGCGTGATGGGTAATGGCTGATCATGTTGTAGACTGTGACAAATATTGAGACTACAACGTATACCAGCGTCACGATAACTGGGACGTCCTGCCCAACCATTACACCGTCGTCTTCGATGAGTTCTTCAACTTCGAGCATGGTGACCTCGTCTCCGGTGTCCAGTAGTGTTTCTAGCAGCACTAGCTCTACTATCTCGTCATCCTCGAGCACGGATAGTTCTTCAAGCTCGGCGACATCGTCATTTAGCACAGGAAGTTCTTCGGTCTCGTCGACGGAGTCAAGTAGCTCGTCTAGCACGCCAACTGAAACCAGTTCCTTCGTCTCTTCATCCACGACTTCTAGTGGCTCGTCTAGCACAGGAAGCTCTTCAGTGTCCTCGACCGACAGTAGTAGCTCATCTAGCTCGTCTGCCACGCCAACTTCATCCAGCTCTAGCTCTTCAGCATCGTCAACTGAGTCTAGTAGCTCGTCAAGCACACCGACTGTATCCAGTTCCTCCAGCTCTTCATCTACAACACCAAGTAGTTCGTCTGCTAGCTCAAGCAGCTCATCTAGCAGCTTGTCCAGTAGTTCGAGCACATCATCATCAACCACAAGCGATGTATCAAGCACGAGCTCGAGTAGCTCATCTAGTACTTCAACTGAGCCCTCCGCCACTTCAAGCACCTCGTCCACGGTATCAAGCAGCTCTTCGACTTCCTCGGGAGAAGTTCCTGTCACAAGCAGCATGTCAAGCTCTTCCATGTCTTCATCATCCATCATGACACCAAGCTCCTCGTCAGCTACTACGTCACCCGAAAGCTCTTCCAGCAGCTCTTCATCAAGCACATCGGACATATCGAGCTCCTCTAGCAGCGTCTCGACGAGCTCAACTAGTAGTACTGAGTCCTCATCTTCAAGCAGTGCAACATCTACCTCTAGCGACTCAAGTTCATCTGCAAGTAGTAGTTCGTCATTTTCAACAAGTAGCACGGACTCGTCGTCGTCATTGTCATCAACCACTACTTTGACTCCGACCTCCAGTGCTTCGAGCACATCGGCTAGCAGTTCATCACCTTCATCTTCAGCGAGCAGCACCGACTCGTCGTCCTCGCTCTCATCGTCCACTATCATAGACCCGACGACCTCTAGTGCTTCAAGCACGTCTGTCAGCAGTTCATCGTCATTCTCATTGAGCACCACAGACTCGTCCTCCTCGCTGTCAACGATTACGATCATAACTTCAACCTCCAGTGATTCGAGCACGTCTACTAGCAGTCCGTCGTCCTCCTCATCATCTTCTTCTTCGTCGTCATTCAGCACCACACCGATTTCCTCAACCACCGATGTATCTTCGACTACATCCACAACGAGCGCAACGCCCAGCCCACCCGTGTGTGGAGGCTTTGGCGTTGGTCTCTGTGACGGCGCCTGCCGCGACCTTGCGACTGACGTTCTTCACTGTGGCCGCTGCAACAACGCGTGCGTCGCGGGCAACGTCTGCAATAACGGAGTGTGCGCATCTCGTGCATGCGACTCCAACTGCGAATTCGACCGCCTGTGCAACAGAAACGGAACTTCGTCATGCCGGTGCGCAAGGACCATGGGTGGCGCTGGTGTCTGTTACGACAAGGATGCGACAAACTGTTCTGACCCAGGTATCCTTCAATGCAGGACCTCAGCTAGCTGTCCGATCGGCACAGTTTGCATGCCTAACGTCTGCGACTGTGCAGATACTACCAAGGGCATCTGCGTTGGCACCACTGGGTGTGGGGACGAAGGATTGTCTGTCATGGGCGGGCTGATCCGAATCGGAGAGATGGAGAAGCGCAGAAGGACCGTCAGAGGGTTGGCGAACCAACTCTAAGGATGGGACGAAAGCATGGTGGTAGCATACGCAGGGAAAAGGGCGGCATCGTGGTTTGTTGTGATTTGGGAATAGTTGGGTGCCTGCCAATGTGCTAGTGGGCGTTGTACAATGGTCTTCACAACACAATATACATCCTTCGCTTCTATACCTACACCGGCAACGGCATCCCGTGTTGTGAATAGCGGTTGGCGTCAGTGCGACATTAAGCTCGCGGTGCATAAAGGCAATTTTTTGTTGTCAAGTGACGCTGCCGTGAGCGGTCAGTGCCTCGGAAGTTAGGTGCTAGCTTCTTTCGCGATGTCAACACACGATAGCGGGTGGTGCCAGTGTAGAGGGTCGCGTGTTTGGAGGCAACAATACGCGACGCGACTGGGGAAACGCAGGTGGTGTGGAGGTGTCCAGATGCAGGCCATCGTAGAAGGGCCTTGTAAACCACGGCGAGATATGACGGGTGCAATGTTTAATGTCTAACGCATGAATGTGGCGTCTAGCGGGTCCTAGCGTGCTCCCCACGCGCTGGTGTCGTTGCCGTGGGGATCGCCCGCCATGTCCGCGACGTAAACACAAAGTATGCCGGACATGTGCCTCATCGCCTCCCCAAATATGCCCGCCATCCTTCTGCTATAGACAACCCACGTTTCAAGCCTTCTCTTCCCGGCCCCGACCTCAGTCGACGCTTCCCCAATTCCCATCTTGTTGGAGCATCATCATGTCGACGCCGGACATGGCCACCGCCGCACCTTCGCATAGACGGAACAGGAGCGCTGCAGCTGGAGTGCTCAAGTCCATCATCGCGAACAAAGGCCACAAGCGTTCGCCGACCGAGGGCGCTGGGCTGCACAACAGCACCCAATTAGCCAGCCCGCCGTACATGCCTGTCTCCAACTTCCAGGCGCCGCTCCTGCCGCCAGACCACCCCCATAGCCAATTGCGCGCGGCAAACCAGACGGAGAACGTTCCCACCAACCCGCCGTCACCGCGCAAGTCGCGAGACGTCAATTCGAGCCCCAAAAAGAGCCTGCACAAGAAGACGCTCAGTTCCGTCTCGCTGCGGTCACTGGCCAAGAAGGAGAACAAGGAGGAGAAGGAGAAGCCCGCCTACAAGAAGTCATTCGACTCGCGGCGATCTCAGGAAGAAGCTGAGATGGGCGAGAAGCCGAAGAAGACAAAGTCATCGACCAATCTGGCTGCCATGTTCGGCGGGCGCCGGAGAGACAAGTCACCTGTGAAGGAGAGCAGAGACAAGGAGAACACCACACCACCCCGCTCTTCCCACGACAAGGCCCCACCTCGCACTCCCATCTGGGCCGAGTTCAGCTCCCAGCAGGAAGTCACCACTACGAGCAAAGTCCCGCTTAACGATCAGCGACGGAGCGTCGAGGAGGAGATTGCCCTCTACACTCCCCAGGACTACTCCCCCACCAAGCAGCGCAACTTCTTCGAGGTCGGCCAGCCAGCTCTCCGACCAGCTCCAAAAGAGCGACCCAAGTCTATGTTTGCTCCGAAGTCGACCTCCACGGCATCCTTGCTTGAGACCTTCTCGCGCAAGCGGAGCAACGAGCGCGTTCCTCTATCAGACACCAAGGGCAACGAGGGACGCACAAGGGAGAGCTCCCCTACAAAGCCTGCAAGACCCGTACTCAGTAGGGCGAGTACCGACACCGGCAGCAAGGACTACAGTCTCAATTCCATGGCGCCGCCGCCGCCGCCAGCCACAACCAAGAAGCAGAACCGAGTCATGGCTGCCGTTGCTGCCTTTAACGGAAAGTCAAAGCAAGCTGACGGTGCTCCGGCGTCTGCCAAGCTCGACCCAAAGGCGGTAGACGCCGAGTTCGAGGAGGTTCTGGTAAGTGCTGTCTGAAACCACCAATGAATACCTGCTAATGATACTAGGAATCTCGAAACATCCCCACACATCAACGTGCCCAGATGCGGACACTGAAGCTCGAGGTCAAGGCAGACTTTGTTCGCATGCACAAACTTGACATACCCCAGACCTCGCGAACAAACTCCGCCCAGTCTTCAATTGGCGAGAACACCAAGCAGGCACCACAGAAGTCGTCCAAGTCTCGACACGGATCTGCTGTCGAGGATGCACAAGATGAGGCGGAAGAGGACAAGTCAGCCAACTCTACTAAGCGTGAGCGACCGCGGAGCCGAACATTTACCTTCAACAGGAGTGACTCTCCCACGAAGAAGCAGAAGGGCGAATCCGGCGAACGGAAGACGAATTCAAAGCCAGCGCCTATTCCCAAGTCTCCGTCTATGAGGTCACTGAGGTCCAATGCTTCTGATCGATCTGTGTCCAACGGAGCGAAATCGGTCAAGGCCGACGAGTTCATCTCCTACTTGAAGAAGACGCCCAAGCCACAGAACGTCGAAGTTGGCAAGCTGCACAAGCTGCGCCTGTTGATCCGCAACGAGACCGTCGACTGGGTTGACAACTTTATCCAGGATGGCGGTATGACTGAGTTGGTCGCGCTGCTGCACCGCATCATGGAGATTGAATGGCGCGAAGACCACGAAGACACACTTCTGCACGAACTCCTTCGATGTCTCAAGGGACTCTGCACAACTGCCACAGCTCTCAAGCAGCTCAATGAGATCTCGTCGACACTGTACCCTGCATTACTTGCTATGCTTTTCGACGAAGAGCACAAAGGTCCGAGCGAGTTTACTACGCGTGAACTCATCATCGAGATCATCTTCGCTCACATCTCCATGGCACCTGAGGGCGAGCTGGAGACCCGCGCTAAGGAGCTGATGAAGTACCTCAAAGACCCTGTCAAAGAGAAGCAGGCTTCGACGGTTCCGTTCATCCTCCAGATGCACACACAGCGGCCCTACCAGGTCTGGTGCAAGGAGCTGTCCAACGTGACCAAAGAAGTCTTCTGGATCTTCATCCACCACCTCAACGTCATTCCCGTTCCCCCCAAGCCTACGGAGGGAAAGTCGTACGCGAAAACGCACTTCCCAGGTCAACGCGCAATCGTTCCTGCAGCACCCTACGTTGGCGGCGTGGAATGGGACGCAACCAACTACCTCGCCACTCACATTGACCTCCTCAACGGCATCATGGCCTCTCTCCCCACACGCACCGCACGCAACGAGTTCCGCTCCGAACTCAAAATCTCAGGCTTCGAGAAACTGCTCGGTCACCTCCGCGCCTGCAACCCCAAGTACTATGGCGCTGTCCACGACAGCGTCAAAGTCTGGATCGGCGCCGCCCTCGAAGACGACTGGGACGTCAAGACTGTGCGCATGGGTGCTGGCGATGGCAAGGGCGGTAGCGTAAGCCCAGCTAAGCAGAGCCCGAAGAAGAAGACGGAGCCTCCACCGCAACTCATGGCACCGCCTAAGATGGATGTCGGGCTTGGTCTTGGACTGGGCTTTGAGCGGGAGATTGCCATTGGCAGTACGAACAAAGTGGACGATGACTGGATTTGAGGTGTTCGACTTCGCTATCTGTCCGACATCTACTACCACTTGGATATCAGCCTGATATCTCCTACCCAACAGCCACTCTCGACCATCTCCTCCTTTGGATGACCAACTGCTTCGACTCACCATCAACTCAGCAAACCCATCCACACTGCTTTTCCCACCGGCGCAAACACGGATACAACGGCGTTCATCACCTCTCCACTGCATTCCATCTCACATCGTCACATCGTCAAATCAACATCAAATCATAGCATGCATCTTATCCTTTCCATCTCCCACCCCCATTGGATCTCTTTCACGACACTCTCTCTTTTGGCATTCCTGGGGTCATGAACGAATATCTCTCCCTCTTTCACATCACGACCTTAGCATATGACATGACTCTCACGACCGACACGACACGGCTGGCTTCCCTTTTGCATAGGGGGCAACGACGTTGTGTTTTACTACCTTCCTACCTTCTTTTCGACACACACAGATACATGAATGGAACGCGTGTATAGTGTATACATATACTTGTTATTGCGCTCCTTTTTTTTATTGTTTATGCGCTATGTTTGAGATGCATGGGTATGGGCTGGGGCGTATAATGTTTGGTTAAGGAGTTTTGATGGGGAGAACTCAAGGCATCTATCTTCAACATTTGGTCGTTTTGTGATGATGATGATTGATGTGATACAAACGCCCTAACCAGGACTCTATTCAACGTTCTAAGTGGGTATCTGATGTCTGACAACTGCAACTCCGTCATCCCAGGCCATAGCCATGACCATGCTAATGCCGCTAAATGATAAACTCCACATGAATGCCTCAAACCTCACACTCTTCGTAAGTCATACCCCATACCACATCAAGCCTTCTTCTTCCCCTTCCTCCTCCCCTTCTTCTCACCCACCTCCACGGTCCCACCCTCCACCTCACCCTCCTGCAACCCCATAACCCCATTCCCCTGCATCTCCTTCAACTTCTCCTGGCCACTGATAAAGAAGCTCAAATCGCGATTCTGCTCCTCGAGATCCGCTTTTTGGGCCTCAAGCTCCTTAACCTTATTCTCAGCCTCTTCAGCCTTCTTCTCCAAATGCTTAATCCGCTCCATCAAGCTCTCATTCACAATCTGCTCTTCTTTGTATTGCTTTGTGAGTTTGCGGGCGAGTTCAGATGCGGACGTTGCTTTCTGGGCGTTGCGCGCGGATTCGCGGGTGAGGGAGGCGATGGTATTTGTTGCTTCGGACTGGGAGGTGGAGAGCTGGTCGAGTTTTTGGGAGAGCGAGGCGACGGATCGGGTTGCTTCGTCGGCGGTGGAGGCGGCTTTTGCTGCTTTGTCTACTGCGCGTTCGAGCTGTTCCTCAAAGTATGCGCGTTGGGATTCGAGTTGCGAGGTGAGTAGGTAGGCGTACTCCATGCCCATATTATCGAGCTTCTCGCGTGGGACGGTGTCGTTGGAGTAGCCGGTCATGCCGGGTGCGCTGAAGGATTGGTTCGAGGCGGGCATGTCGACAAGTTTGCCGTCTGCTTTGTTCTGGATTAGGCGGTGGACGTAGCCGTCGCCTGCATAGTCCCAGACGTGTTGGGTTACCACGTCCATTGCGTAGGTATGGCTTGTTGCTTCGTAGTGTGCGAACGCGTGTGCTGAGTCGTAGCGGCCACATCCTATGTTACCGCAGATTAGGCAGATCCAAAGGTTTTGTGTGGATCCGCAGACACTGCACTCGTTGTCTGGACTCTCGCCGTCTGCGCCCCGATTTGAGGTAAAGGCATCGTTTTGTGTGTACCGACAGACTGGGCAGCCTGAGCCCCGCCACTTCTCAAGACAGGCGCAGTGGAAGACGTGCTGACATAGAATGGTGAGGAGGCCAGTCGTTTCGTCCATGCGTTCGAGACAAACAGGACAGGTTGGTAACTCTACCAAAGCAGGTGTAGGTGGAGCGTGTGGTTTTGCGGTAAGCGAAGTAGCGATTGATGGTCCGTCGACTGGTGAAGGTACGGTGCTAGCTGGCGGAAGAGGAGCTGTGGGTTGTTTGGTTGGCGCGGGCGCGAAGGGATCGTTGGTGAGGTCAGGATACGAGGTGGGATCGCGGTTTGAGTCGCCGTTCTGGAAGTTGATCGACTTGACAAAGACGACATGACAGTACTCAGGCTGTTTCTGTTAGCTGCAACCTCTTGACTATGACTGTCCTTTGTCTTACCTCCATACTATTGAAGGCCTTGCCATCCCATTCCTTTCTCCACGCCCTCGCTTTCTTGGCTTCCCGGAACTTCATCAGCACCATGTACTTGTTCGCTCTGCTTGTCCGGATGAGCCTAAAGTGCGAGACGTCCTCCCTCGTCTGCTCGCCCATGAAGCCGAGAAAGTCGGAAGGTGTCATGTATGAGGGCACCGCCAGTATGCACAGCGTAGTGCAGTCCTCTTCGTTGAAGTCCTTGCTCGCTCCGTCCACCTCATCGTACAAGCCTGGCGTGTCCTGTCCATCGCGATAGAGATGCACCACGCCCCAGCCAACATCTGTGTCTTTCAGATCTGAGGGTATGAACTTGCCCTTGGTCGCGAGACCACCGGCATTTGGCGCGTGTGAGGAGTGCTTGAGGCGGGCTCGATCGAGTTCAGTGCCGGTGCTCGGGTTCATGTCGATGCTCAGTATGGAGATGGTGTCGAAGCGCCAATCCCTGTGTGCAAAGCTTTGTGTTCGCCTGTGTCCCGGCCTTTTGGGCGGTTTGACAACGGGTACCGGGCTATCGTGGTGATCTGAGAAGGATGGTCGCGCGCGATGACTGAACCGGCGGGCGGTAGATGTGCGATCACGGGCAGCAGCAGCTTGGCCGGCCTCACTGCTAGAAGCTATGGGTTTCGGGAGGTTATTGTATGCGCGTGATGCCGGGGGATAGGAGCCCCAGGACGCTCGGCGATGGGCTGGAAGCTTCGAGTCGAAGATGTCGCTAGGTAGAAACGTCTTGTCCGGCGACGAGCGCGAGGGATACAGCTCGAAGGTAAGGTGGAAAAAGTACGCCGGCATCAGGTCTTATTGGTAGGTGCCTGCATTTCCAGCGAGTGTGATTGTGAACAGAAGTTTAGAACGTACGCAACGTGTTTGCGACCTGAGCTACGTGACTTGCAGCCGCGGCAGTGGGGCAAGCGCAAGCGCGTCATTCCCGCATCTCCGCAAATGTTAGCGCACCAAGACGCGCACGACTTCACGACAAGGCACATTTGGAGGATTCTAGTGATAGAATTATATTTCATTCTTGCCCTGTACCTATGCAGTGCAAGCCCAGCTAATCCTCATAATGGTGGTCGCCCATGACGTGCCCTCGATGCTGTCCTTCGGATATAGTAAACGCCATAGCTATGCAATAGTAAAGAAAATGTAAAGAAACACGCTATCCCGACAAAGATGTCATTTCCCACACTATGTGTACGGTAAGAGAGACGGCCAAGGCCGAGCCAAAGAAAGGCATTTCATGATGCCACCTGAATAAATAAGATTCCATCGCCGTGTCGTCAAGTCATTCGCCAGAACGCGTAGTGGGTATCGCTTTTGAACATGGCCAAAACATTCGCGCCGGTCCCAAGTGGTGATGGGTGTAACTGTAATTCGTGTAACTCGCAGTGTTGAATGGTAGAACAGAACTAAGCCTGGTCCACGTCGATTAGGTCGCCCTCGGTGATATCTTCGATCTCGTGGCCCTTGGAGTTGACGACAATGCGTCTTCCTCGTTGGTCGGCGGGAACTCCGTCGCGTGAAGCACCAAAGTCGAGAACCTGCAATTGTCAGCTAGTAATTCGTGAAGGCTGTTCTTAGTTGCTTACCTCGATGTATGTCATGCTGTTGCGCTGAACAGCAGCAACACAACGACGCTCATTGAACTTGACCTGCCATACGCCGCTCAGGTCCGTCAGCAAGTCCTTGACAAACTCGCCCGTCTTCACGTTCCACATCTTGAGTGTGCGGTCAGAGCCAGATATGACTTTCTGGCCGTCGTGCTGGAAGCATGTTATGGCACCTGTGTGAGCACATAGTCGGCTCTTGCATTGCCCATTCTCTGGGTCCCAAATTCGGAGAGTTGAATCAGCAGCCGCTGATACCAAGCGCTCGTGACTCAGATCGAGAAGACCGACGAGCGAGGTATGACCCTCAAGCGTGAAGATGCAGGCCCCTGTCTCCAGAGACCAGACTTTGACCATGTTGTCCATGGAACCACTGATGCAGCGGTTGCGCGCATGGTCGAGAACAACACTGTACACCTTCTGCGAGTGACCTTGAAGGCGTTGCAGAACCTCTCCGGTAGAGATCTTCCACACTCGGACAGTGCAGTCGTAACTGCCACTGACGAGCGTGTCACCGTGTGCAGCGATCGCGCGCACTGAATGATGGTGTCCAGTAAGGGCGCGTATGAAGTACGGATTGTCATGATCATTGGATGACGCTGCTGCCTGCATGATGCCCCGATCGCCTGGCTTGGGAAGTTTCCAGACACGAAGTGTAGAGTCTCGCGAACCCGTAATAATGAGCTCCTCCTTCGGCATCATGATTGGCTGGCCGTCAAGGGTCTCGCCAATCTGAGTTGGCTTGAGTATCACTAGGCATCGGACGGTGGAGGTGTGACCCTGGAAGACATGCGTGCACTTTCCCTTTTCGATATCCCACACGCGCACTGAGCGATCGGTGGAGCCGGATACAAGTGTGTTGCCCTCGTACTGAAGGGCCCACACGCCGCCTTCATGCCCTTCAAGGCGGCTTCGTAGCGCTCCTGTTTTTGTGTCGTAGACATTGATGTTCGTATCATCACTGCCTGTCAAGATTTTGTCTGTGTCAAACTGAAGGCATGTCACCACGTGGCGCTGATGGGCGCGGAATGCAATGTGCTTCGGCTTCGTGTCAGTCGCCATCCAGCTCTTGCGGATGAGATGATGACGTTGATATAGAGACTTGAAGAGATGCATAGCACGAAGACCAGGCAAACCAACATTGGGATCGGAAATGGCGGCCTCTGCTCGCTTGGCAAAA